CCCCCCGGCTCTCCGTGGGCCGCTCTCCCCATCCACCCCAGCTCCTCCGCATGTTCTTCCGGCAGCAGGACGAGATCCGGCGGCTGAAAGAGGAGCTGGCCCAGAAGGACATCCGCATCCGGCAGCTGCAGCTGGAACTGAAAAACTTACGCAACAGCCCCAAGAACCTGTAGCCGGCAGGTGGGGCTGCTTTCTCAGCCGATCTCTCCGTTGTTTCTACTTGCCCCTGAACGCCCCCTTCTCCAGTGACCCCAGAGACAGACCCAGGCCTGGAGCTGGTGGGGACCCGACCTGAGGACCCACCTACCACCACAAGAACTGGAAGCTGACCTTTGACTTCTTGACCTCATGCTAATAAAAGTCCCCAGCCTCTCCTGGAGACCCAATGCTGGCAGCCCGTTGGCCTGACACCCAGGAGACTGGACTGGCGCTGCTCAGCAGGACGAAGACCACAGACTCCCTGTGGGGCTGTCCTCACGGAACCAGGGATCCCAGCTAGACTTAGGACTTGAACTCTGCCCTTGCGGAAGGGGCTGCCATGGCACTCCAGCGCTCCCCATCGGGGCTCACAGCGTCACCGATGGGGCCGCAAAGGTGCATTTGCAAGTGTCAGCTGAAGTTCTCCTCCCCCCTGCACACACCCCCCCCCAACACCGTCAGCCCCTTCTCTACAGCAACCCTGGTAGCCGGAGTCTGTCTCCAGCCCCACCTCTCTTGTTTTCAGGGAATATTAAGAGGATTGCTTACTAAGGCCATAGTGACCCCTTACCTTCCCATGATTCTCTTGGATGCTCTTGTGCAGTCTCTTCCTGTGTCGTTTGTGGGGTGTGGGGTGTGGGGTGGGGACTAATGTCCCCATGTTACAGATGACAGACTGAGTGATGGAGAGATGACTTTCCAGGTCACCCCGCAAGTCGGTAGTGGGCCTGGGATCCAGCCCGAGTGTCCAGCCCCGGGGGCCAGGGCCTGCCTCGCTGTATTGGGATGCCAGTCCCTTTGTGGGCTTTGCCAGTGAAGATGAGAACTGGATGCCAAGCCAGCTCTGCCATCTGTCCAACACCAGTAGTGCCAATGTGCCACCTTCCTGTCACCCTCAAGGCTCCACACACTCGGTGCCCCAGACCCTCCTGGCTCCCGCTCTCCACTCCCTGCTCCTCCCCACCCCACCCCCACCCCCACCCCGTCTCTGCCTGCCCAGGGCTGAAGGCTGACCCTGGGGAAGGCAGAGCAGGGAGCCTCTGCACCCGCCTCCCAGCCGCTCACAGCCTTACACACACAGAGTAACCGCAGCCCCCTACCCCAGTAGAGCACTTTAAAGTTGACACAGTTCTTCCACACCAAGAATCTCATTTGAGCCTCCCCTCCTCACTAGGGAGCATCACCGCGCCCCCCACCCCCCCATTTTACTGAGAGAAGTAGCCCCAGGCCCCACAACCCTTTGCGAGGTCACATTCCATCCATGTGCTACCCGTTTCTTTCTTCTCCGCTCGCTTCATGTCTGGGCGCCCCCTCAGACTCCATAGACATAGTGCTCCTCAGAAGAGGGGCAGACTGGCCTGGGCGTCCACTCATCTCACACTCGTTACTGGGAGCTACTGGGCCACTGCACCGCCCATGCTTGCTTTTCCTGTGGCCACGGCCCCGGTGCGTTGACAGGACAGGCTTGGGCGTCCACCCGCTGAGCCTTCCAGGGCCCCGGCCTGCTATAGCAGGGTCTCTCATCCCAGCAGCGAGCCTGCGTCATCTTCTCTCCCGGTTCACTTCCGGAGCTTCTGTTTGTCTTATTCCTTCTTCTTCTTCCCCATCGACCTGGGTGGTCTCTGTGATAATTTATGCTGCCTCCAAGTATAGAACTGAAATAAAAGGTTTTCAACTTCTCCAACCTGGGCATGGCCGTCTCATTCCACTCGGCGGTCCCTGCTCTTGCCAGCACGGGAATCTTAATGGTCCGCTGCTCACCTGCTCGCTGCTCCTTCACCTGTCTGGGACGATGGCCATCGTCCATCCTTCTCGGCAGAGGTAATGCCACCTTTTCATTGTCTACAGAAAGAGATCTCTTTGGGGGTGGGGTGGATGTTTAGCAGGACCCTTGGTCTCCACCTACCACATGCCTGTATCCCCCTCCCCCCAGGTTTGTCCCCAGACCCTGCCAAATGAACCCTAGACCCTGGGAGTTCAAAACCACCCTTAGTTGAAAACCCCTGCCTTACCATGATTCCATGGGCATCCAATTACTTTCAGTAATTGGATCTAGTACTCTTCCCATTTTGAAGATGTGCCCTCAGACCCAGGGGAGTGTCACACGCTCCGTCACTCGGCTGGTGTAGCAGGGAGACAGTGAGGGGTGGGATCTTCGGAGTCCACAGCCAGAGCGGTCACCTGCTCCCAGCAATGGCATCTGAGAACGGGAGAAGCGATGAAGGGGCGCGGCGGCTAGGCCCTAGAGACTGGAAAGAGGACCTCCATTCCCAGCCCTGCTTCCGACAGTCACAGGGACCCCTAAAAAATGATGGGGTGAGATTATGCAAATAAGGTCATGGAGCCCTCACGAGAGGGTTGGACAGTTTTGCCATCCACTAGGCTTAAAGGGAGACATGGAGAGAGAGGAGGAGGAGGAGGGATAACACTAAAGGTAGACACCGCAGCACAGCTGCGAGACCACCCAGGTGACTGGCTGACCACACAGAGTTCAGAGCTGCCCCTCTTTGCCTGCAAAGGCTTCAAGCAGGGCTGGGCAGCAAAAGCAAGAAAAAGCTGTCTTGGTCAAGAACTGTATCCAGAATCATTCCTGATCCTGAATTGTACTCTGTTTCTTCCCTAATAGTCTCCATAATTGTAAGTATGGTCTGGGAGCTCTGGGTGGCCATTGTAACCGATTGTCTAGTCCAGCAGAGGAGTAGAGAGGGCCATGGGGAGAGAAGGCTGGTGTCAGAGCAGGAGACAAGGTTGAAGAGAGAAGCCACGTCTGACGTCCACCTCATAGACATCAACCTTGGGGATTTCCCTTCCCACTCGTGATACTAGAGAAAGTCAGAAGTCCTCGCCATGCCAGTCTTACAACTTTGAAGAAACTGTCCAAGGTCAAGATCAAACTACATTTCCTCCTGAGTAATCCATTTTCCTTTGTTTATGCACCCATTAGTTCTTCACATCCCTGCCGGACGTAGCATATTGACTTCTCTACCAGTTTGGCCTAGTCCATCACAGGGCTTCCTAATTGCCAGGTTGATGGTTCAAACCCACCAGCTGCTCTGAGGGAGAAAACCGAGGCTGTCTGCTTCTGGAAGACTTAGCATCTCGGTGGGCTGTTAGGAATGGGAATCCCTCTGTAGCCGTGGGAGTGATAGCCCTTGTGACGCGTGGAGCCCACGGAACCACTGCTCCAGATGAGGAGATGTTAGGCTCGACTCCAGATCCTGCTCCTCTATGGGGAAATCTCTAACACCCCTGCAAAGTCACCCCCCTCCTGCCCCGGGGACTCCCACAACTCCTCGTCCTACCACTTGACAGCTAATTAGATTTTCAGCTCTGTTTACATGCACTAACTAAACCTGCTCAGCACTAGGCATTGGGGGCCCAGAAACGGGGAAGAGCCAGGCCTACCCTTCAGGAACTTCCAGCCAGTGGACAGGACTCCGAGCCCCAGGAGACTGATATGTGTGTCAGCCCTTGGCTGGGTTCAGCATGGAGCGTGGGGAAAGATGGACCTGGTGTGGGATCAGCTGACTGCTGGGTTTGCATTCAGCCGGCCTGCTGAAGGCCCAGGACGGACTTGGAATGTTTAGATTCTCTCCTGGAGCTGCGCAAGCTGCCCATGATGTCATATCAAACACAACACCACCACCACCACCCCGGGCTTTTGGCTCCCAGCCTTCCTAGTCGGCAGAGGGGCGCCTGCCTGGCGTAGAAGCAGACACTTCCACTACAGGGCCCATTACCAAATTCTTCTCCCCCGAGTCTGCCAACCCCAGAGTGGGAGGCTGAAGGTCCGTGGCATGGGGAAGTGGAGACCCCCCCTCTGGGGTGTTGGCAGGAGCTCCTTGTTCTCTGGGTATGTTGTTTCCTATTTGGGAACAATCTACAGCCTCTCTTCCCTTGGAATTTTAATTCAGGCACAAGAACAAATGGGTCAGCCTCACTCAGAAAGAAGGTGAGCATCCACAGGGTCAGGGCTGGGGAGATCCAGGCAGCCTGCCCCACCATCACCACCCAGTCCCTGGATTAAGGGCTGCCCTGGCTGGAACTCTCTTCAAAAGCAAACCCCGTTGGCAGTCGGATGTGGCTAGCCTTGACGAACTGAGAGTAGAGGTCTCTGGTGAGAGAAGGGATGGGGACCCTGAGTGAAGAGAGCTTGGGGTGCAAGGTCACAGTGGTTGTGGCAAGGTTCCAAACACCAGGAAGAGCTTGCTAGAAGTTTCAATCCAGCTGGCAGGTGTGGGATCTGGTCTTCTCATCAAGCCCCACCCACCGCCACTTTTTCTTTATTTTGTTCCTGAGATAGGCCTCTTCTGCCACCTCCCGCCCCAAGTGAATCTGTGGCCCCGCCCCAAGAGACCGGGGCCTCATGTCCAAGCAGGTACACAGAGCAGCCAGGTGGGTGAAAGAACACTCATAAACTCACTGTCACTGAGTCAATTCTGACTCACAAGAGGCCCTCTGGGACAGAGTAGAACTGCCTCTCTGGGTTTCTGAGACTGCAACCCTTTTCCGAAGCAGAAAGCCTCATCTTTCTCCCACAGAGAGGCTAGTGGTTTTGAACCCCTGACCTTATGGTTAGCAGCCCACTAAGCTACTGGGGCTCCTCAACCTAGGAGAAAGGAGGCTCAGCAGAAATCAGCCAGGTCCTCCGCTGGCCTGTGGGCAAGGAGCATCCCGGGCAAGGGCATGTCTCACCTTCTCTGACTCCAGGCAAGGCCACAGAGAGCCTGCCAGGCTCTGTTCCCTGGAGAACTGCACAGAAGCTGGCTCCACTTTCCTGTCCCAGCCCAGGCCCTAACCTGCTCAGTGACCTTGTGCAGTTTCCCTCTGAGGACAATGACAGGGAGGAGCCCTTTCTGCCAGAAGAATATGCAATCTGGTGAGGTGGCCGAAAGAAGAGAGACAATGTAGGGGGTGGGTGAGGGTGGGGGAGCAGGGGCTGGCCAGCCTCCATAGCCTAGATGATCCGAGCCCAGGCTAGTGGGGGCTCACGAGGTCAAAGCTAAAGTATCCAGGAAGTTACTGATGAAAGAAACAGGAGCCATGTGCAAGGTCTCATTCCTGGCCCCAACTAGGAATCGCTGAATCTCTGCGTGGGGAGGCTAGCTTCATTCAGGCCACCCAGCAGTGAAGGGAAACGTTTAGAAGCAGTTTTGGAGCCCAGCTGAGAGCTGGGGGTGAGTGGCCCAGGCGGGGCATGGTGGTGACAGGGCTGGGGACGGCAGTCACTGGGTGCCAGGAAAACACTGTTGTGAGAGAGCTTGCTGAGATAAGGACTTGACATCCTTAGTCATGGGTATGGGATTGGAGGTGGGGGCACATGTCAGCTGACATCTGGAACAGGGACCAGAGCTGGAATGGGAGTTGATCCATCCCTGCCGTCAGACCCGGGGCACTCCACAGAGGTTTGATGACATGGTACACCTGTCCTAGAAAGGCCCGCCAACCACTCACTGCCATCCAGTGGACGCTGACTCAGAAATGAGGACAAGGGAGCCCCTTTGAACAGGAGGCTGGCTTGCACATTGGGATACTCTTTGACCCTTTATCAGTGCTCAAGGAGCTTTGTCGTGCTTACCTAAGCAGGTAGAGGTCAAGAGGCCGAGGGGTTGAAGGTTAAGGGGTCAAAGGCCTG